GCCCCCCCGCCCCTCCGTCTGCTCTGGTTGAAGTCAGTGTGCCGTTTCGCGGCCTCTGCGCGTCCTTGGCATGGCTTTTCTCGGTTCACAGCGACTTCGCGCAGTGCCCGAGGCAGTTGCGAACTCGTGGCTCCGCCTGCCGTCCGCACCCCTCCCCGAGGGCTCCGAGCGCGTCCTCCGCAGCGGCAGCGCGGGGCACCCGTGCCGGTCACCGTGTGCCCAGGACCTGGGGCCCCCCCAGCCCAGCCGCCCTGCCCCACTCACCTGCCAGCGCCCCGTTCTCGACCCCCAGCCGGGCCGCCCGCGCTTTGGCCTTGTCCATCTCCGTGTCCAGCGCCTTTAGCTGGGCCTGCAGCAGGCTCTGCGAGGAGGAGGGCGGTGAGCTGGGCCACCCTTCTGGGGACAGCGACACAACGCCCTCCTGTCCAGAGCTCTTCCGGCCAGGAGCGCGAGGCCAGAGCCCGCCCAGCCCGGCTGCTCTTCCCTCGCTGCCCGCTGCGGTTCCCCCTGGGGACGGAACCCAGGGCTTTCACGCTGAGCTGCATCCCAGCTTTTTAAATTTATTTTGAGACAGAGTCTCGCTAAGTTGCTACGTTGTCCAGGCTGAGCTGGAACGTGGGATCCTCCTGTCTCAGCCTCCCAGAGTGCTGGGATGGCAGGGATGCGCCACCATGCAGGCTTATACTTTATTTATTTGTTTGAAGGCCTGGTAAATTCTGGACATGGGCTCTACCCCTGGGCCACAGTCCTAGCCCAGGGTGCACAGCAGTTCCCGATCAATGTGAGCCACTGGGCTCAGAAGGTGTTTTGGCGAAGCTCAGGGCTGGGGAGGGTTAATAAAGAGTCTGGAGGAAAGGGCGGGCCGGCTGGCACCTCCCTGAGAAGCCAGCTTTAGACTCCTAATTACAGGTGCCCCGAGTGTTCCTTCCTCAAAATAGGACGGCTGGAAACGGACTTGGGGTAAGAGTGGGCTCTGGGTCAGCACAGCGCCTCCTGGGGTGTCCCTCGCCACCATTTTTTAAAAACCTATTTATTTATTTATTTATTTTTGTCTAGGGGATTGAGCTCAGGATCTTGCGCTTGCAAGGCAGGTGCGGTACCACTGAGCTAAATCCCTGCCCCCCCCCCCCTTTGGAGACAGGGTCTCCCTATGTGGTTCAGGCTGGCCTTGAATTCATTTTATGTAACCCAGGCTGGCCTGGAATTCAGGGCGACTCTCCTGCCTCAGCCTTCTGAGTGCTGGGATCACGTGCGCCACCACACCCGGCTCCAGCCCCCATTATTCTGGGAAATAGCGAAGTGTGCCCTTTTTTAAAAATCGGAGGGTAGATTCCAGGAATTACAGGAGTAGAAGACTTGGGGAACCGAGGGGAAGGGAGGGACCCCTAGGAACAGGCGCAACCCCTATTCCTAGCAGCCTGGTCCTTCCGACCCTCCACGCTGCCCACCTACTTGTCGACCCTCCAAGGCCCTCAGCGACTGCTCCAGCTCCTCTCGGACGCGCTCCGCCTGGCTCAGCCTCCCCGCCAGACTGTCCTCGCGCTGCGCGGCCTCGGCCAGCCGCCGCCGAAGTTCCTCGAGCTCCGGGTCCGGCCCCGGGAGCGGCGTCGTGGCGTTAGGCCCCGGCTCGGGGCAGCGCGGGCCCCGGGCCGTCGAGGCCGCCAGGTTCCAGGCCACCAGGGCTCCGCCGGCCGCTGCCGCCGCCAGGAACAGGGAGGCCCCGCACAGCGCGAGCGCCCGCCACGCGCGCCCCGGCTCCGGCCCCGGCCCGGCCATGCGCGCTCCGATGCCGCGCGCTTCGAGTGGCACCTGGGGCGCTGCACCGCCCACGCCCGGCAGCCCCGCCCCGCCCCGGTGGCCTCCCTCCTGGAGGGGCGTTCGGAGCTGGAGCGCTCTGCCTCACGCCGCCTGCAGCCTGTTTCCCCTCCCTGGGATGGATCTCGGGACCCAGCGCGGAGCTGCCGTAGGAGCCCGCACGATCCGTCCGCGCCCCGTGCACCGGACACCGAGGCTGCGCCCCGAGCTCGAGTGGGCAGCCGGGACCAGGTGGGGCCACGGCCCGGCGCCAGGGGGCGCGCTCAGCACGCGAGCGACACCTGCCGGCTCCTCCCCTCCCTTCGCTGCTCCCCTCGGGGACCCCATCAGGCCTGGCTTCCTTTGCTCCCCTCCCCTCCCGTCCCCTTCTTTTTCCTTCCCTTTTTCCTCCCCGCTTCCTGCCCCAGGGCCTTTGCACGGGGCCCCGCCCCACCTGAGCCATCTTCTCCCTCTGTCCCAGGCTACTGAATCCTTACGGCTCCCGCCCGGCCCCACCCCCTTCCGGACCCCCACTGCCGCCCGAGCGCCCTGGGCCACGCAGGCCGGCGCTTAGCGGGTGGCGGCCCCTGTCAGGGAACGTGACTAGGCCTCATTCGCGGAGGGGAAGAAGCCAGAGGTGGAGCCTGGGACACAGCAGCCTGGACCACAGCCGGTTCACTGCGCAGCCGCAGCAGCTGTCCGTCCTCAACCTCTCCGCCTCTCTCTGGCCGCTTGCGTGTGTGTGTGTGTGTGTGTGTGTGTGTGTGGCCGGTTGGCCTTGAACTGGTGGCGATCCTCCTGCCTCAGCCTCCCGTGGGCTGGGATTACAGGCGTGCGCCACTGCTCCTGCTCAGGCTCTCCTTCACCCCGGGGTGGGGCACACAACTCTGGGTCAGCGAGGGGCACCGCGCGGGGTCTGGGGACTGCACAGGGCGGGAGTTGGGGGGTGGAGGAAGAGCGGTGAGGTCGTGCGGGGGGGAGTTTGCCTCCTGGGCAGAGAAACCCGTCCACGCGGAGGGGAAACTGAGGCTGCCTGCCGGCGTGGAAACCACCTGGCCCTTCAAGACTTCCCCGAGCCTGATCTCCACACCTCCGGGGGCGGGTGACAGCCCTCGACCTGGCTCCAGGAGTTTATCCCCACTGCCCTGCACGGGGGACACCCAAGTCCGCCCTGAAGAGTGGGCCCGGGACACAGGTCTGATAGCTTTTTTTTGCAGTTCCCTCGGGACCTTGCGCTTGGGAGGCCGGCGCTGTGCCATAGCATTTGGTTTCTATCGTTGTGGTGCTGGGGTGGAACCCAGGGCCTTTGCGCTGAGCTGCATTCCCAGCCCTTTTGATTTTTAAAATTTTGACACCAGGTCTCAGTAAATCTCTAAGCCCCCCAGGCTGGGCTGGAACTCACGACCCTCCTGGCCCAGCCTCCCAGAGAGCCAGGACGGCAGAGGGGCCCCCTCTCAGGCATTCTTTGCTGTTGGGACCTGGGGGGTGCGGCGAGGCCCCTCCTGGGGGAGGGCGTGCAGTCCACGCTGGGCGGGGGGAATGCAGGACGTGGCGACTGGGACCCGACTCACCTTCCCAGAGTCGTGGCCACCCCTTCCCGTACGGGGCTGAAGCAGGCGCCCCTGTGCCCTGGCCCTGGCCCCCCAGAGCGCATCACGGAGACAGCGGCAGGCCGCCCCCCGCCCCCGACCCTCTCCACTCAGCTCACTGCCCGATCCCTGCGGACCCGGGCGGCTCTTCCCTCTCCAGGGCGCCCGCACCCCAGTCCTGCACGCGCCTCAGGTAGGAACCGCACGTCTCCCGCCCGCCCAGCCCAAGGTCCCAGGCAGGCGGCCCCAGACCCCGGGCTTGGGTGCCCCGGCACAGGCCGGCGGCAGCGGTGGATTCGGGTGCCCGGAGCGCAGGGACACGGGCCCTTCTCTCCCACTGACCGCGTGGCCCGGGCACGGTGGGACCCAAAGATGCGGCCGAAATCTGGGACCCAAGGCCCCATTGCCACGGACAGGAAACTGCATGGATTCCAGGAGAACTTGGAGGAAGAAAGATAAGGCCCAGGCAGGGACCGCGGGGCCTGGCAGGGAATGAGTGAGGCACGTGGGGGAGGCTTCTGCGGGGACTGCAGCTGTCGCTCCGGAAGTGCCTTTCCGGCGAGGGCGTCCCAGAGCGGGTGCTGCAGGATACGTAAGAGCTTAGGGGACATAGACAAGAAGATTCTGACAGAGGCCTGGCCTAAATGTGCCTGTGGATTCAGGTTTAAATCCTAACCCCGCGCTTGGTGCAGGAGGCTGGGAAAAGCAGGATGCTTCCCCCCCCCCCCCAGTTTCCCCACTGGTACGCGGGGGCAGGTGGGCTCTGCACACCAGGCGAAGTCCTGAGGATGCTTCCGCAGGGGGCGGCTGGACGCGCTGGCACGGTGGCGGGGTCCAGCACCTCGGGGTGCGGCGCAGCGGGGTTCCCACCCTCACCGCAGGGGCTGACCCTGAACTCAGGGTGACAGCGACGCTCCAGGAGCGTAAGAGCAAGTTCTGTCCTCTGGAAAGGGGTGTTTATTTCTTTGGAGCAGAAGGACCCCAGAAGGAGGGGACCCCAAACGCGACAGCGAGAAGCAGGAGAGCTGCCCCGCCCCACCCCAAGAAGGGCTGTGTCCGGGGATGCAGCTCGGCTCTGCCCCACGATACCCACCCCACCCCCTAACCCGTCATCCCGCAGAAGCGCAGGTTGGGGGGCTTCGAACCCCAGGAGCTGGAGCCGGGTCAGCGCAGGCTGTGGCCTGAAACCGGGTAAGGGCTCAGCAGGGCGCCTCCCGCCCGAGCCCCGCCCAGAACAAGCCACGCCCCCAGTCCCACCGCACGCCACGCGCCCGCGCTCCCCGCCCCGCGTGTGGAGCGCGCGGCCGGAGCGCGCGGCCGGGCCCCCCGGGTCTCTGCCCCCGGCTCCCTCCCCGGGCCGCCCCTCCTCACCGGCTGGCTCCGAGATCTCAGGGCCGCACTACGGCCAGGCCCAGGAGCAGAAGCGCCGCGAGCACCGGGACGACGGGGATGTTCCCGCGGCCAGCCGCGTTTCGGCCACCCGTCCGCCTGGAGGCCATTTCGTCGCTGGGGGCACGTGAGAAGCACTCAGGCGGCCTCCCGCTCACCCTCCCCGGGACGCAGTTTACCCCCGGGTCCGTGTGGATGTTCCGGGGTAAGGGGGTTCTGGGGCTTGGAGGGAGGTGGGGCAGGGGGCGTGGCCCGGCTGAGCTGGGTCTCGGACCTCAGTTGCTGCGCCTCCTCCTCAGCCTTCTGCAGCTTCTGCTTCAAATCCTTGATCTCATCTGGGTGGCGCAGGGCGGGGGGCGCTCAGGGCGCGGCCCCGCACCCCGCCCACCCCGGCCCTCCCAGCGCCCTCCCCTGCACCCCACTTGTCCCCTTCCCACCTTTAAGGTCCTGCACTTGCTTCTGCTGCTTCTGCTCCTGCGTTTTCATCTCGGTCAGGGCAGCATTCAGGTTTTCCTGGGACGGAGTCAAAGATCAAAAGCGGGTTCCAGGGCCGGGATTTAGCTCAGTGTTTCTGGCGCCTGCCTCACAAGCGCGAGGACCTGAGTTCGATCCCCGTACCAAAAAAAAAAAAAAAAGCAGCTTATCATCAAAAAAAGGGGAGCTCTGGCCCTGGGGGGCCCAGGACTCACTTCTGCAGGCGCTGTCCTCAGAGGCGCTTCAAGACAAACTCTTCCCGGGCCCCTTCAACCCTTTCTGTGCCTCAGTTTCCAACCTCACAAACTTGCCTCACCCAGGGCCGCCAACAGGAACCCTGTGACCACGGAGAATGGAGTTTTGAGCCCCCCCCCCCCCCGGGAATCATCAGGGTCTCCCTACCAAGCCCTAGTAGAAATTTCCAGATCCTCCGTGTGGGTGCCTGCCAAGCCCAGAGCACAGGGGCCTCAGATATCTGGCACAGGTTGGATGTCCACTGGGGGTTCCAAGCTCCCCACATTAGTGCCCTGCAGGAGTTCAGAGCTCCATCCAAGTCCTTGTGGGGATATTGAGGCCCCGATGTGCACGCGGCCTTGAGTCTGAAGACCTTGAGCCCTGGAGAGAATTTAGATGTCCCCAAACCCTGGCAGGTAAATCAGGCCCTTGTGATGTAGGGGCTCAGGGTCAGCTTCAAGGCTAACTCCTCTTCACCCAGGTCTGGTGGGGGATTTCTGGGGAGAGTTTCTAGGCCCCCCAAGCGAGCACTGAGCCCTCCGCAGGAGCTTCGGTGGCTTACCACGGTGCTGTTGCAGGCGGCATCGGCGTCCCGCAGGGTCTTCTGGGCTCGGGTCAGCTGGGCCTGCAGGTGGTGGCTGACATTGTGGCACCTTTGCTCCGCGCGGAGGCCATCTTGGCAGGGTTCGCTGTTGGCTTTGACGGCAAAGTAGCCCAGGGTCACTGCCATCACCACCAGGAGCCCCAGGACCCCTATCAGGCACAGCAGCCTGGGGACCCTGAAGTTCTTGTCCTTCCAAACTTCATCCATGGGCAATGGCAGGTAGTGGTAAAAAGCGGGAGCCATGAGGAGCGGCCCGGGAGGAGGGAGAGGGACGGGGCTGAGGGTCTCGCCCGACGCCAAGGCGGGACGCGCCTCATTAGCATAGGAGACTTCCCGGCCAATCATGGACCGCGCCTCATTAGCATAGGGGACTTCCCGGCCAATCCCAATTCCAGAACTGCCGCGGAGGCGGCCCCAGCCCCGCGAGGTTAGGCTTTCAGTTTCGGGTTCCTAGCAGGAGGTGCGTCCCGCATTCCTGCTCCCTGGCCTCCGCAGCTGGGTGCTGGCCGCCGGCCAGACGGCGCCGAGGGGGAGAGTCGGGGCTGCCCGCGCCCTCGCCTCGGTCCTGACCCCTCCTGGGGCTCGGTTCATCTCTACCCCCAAGGTAGAGCCCCCCGCACCTCGCCTGGGCAGCGGGCTGCGAGTTGAGAGTGGACAGAGCCTGGGCTTTACGCCCAGGGGTCTCCAGGGCGACTCAGCACTTCGCCCCCGTCGAGGGGGCCGGGAGCCACGGAGGGTGTGTGCGAGGGGGCAGCCACCGGAAGCTGGCCCGGCCCAGGTTTCCATTTGGGCCCAGCCAGTAAACCGGTTTCCTAGGCGCTGCCCTGGCCCCAGCGGGCACGTGGTCCTGCCGCAAGCTCTTGAGCCTGTTTGGTGGCAGTGGCAGGACCTTGAACCCGTTTGGGTTTGCAGGGGCCAGCGGGATGGACGCGATGGGGAACCTGGGGGGAGAGGTGCAGAGGGGGCAGGAGAGGGGCCGAGTGACCCGACAGTGTCCTTCTGCCCTGGGGCTGGGGGGGCCTGAGCCCCTGATCGCTGCCACTGGCAGCTGTGGTGGGCGGCGGAAGGGGGCTGAGTGTTTTTCTGGTGGCTTCTTCAGCGCTGGCCTGACCAGGGCCCACACCCAATGTAGAGGCCGTTTCCGGCCTTTGTGACTGTCCTGGGAATGACAGGCTGTGACCAAGGAAGGCTGTGCCACAGGCCTGTGCTAGGGCCCCTCTGCCTAGATGACCCCCTGGAGGCCCCGGGAGCCCCCAACAGGGGGAGCAGAGCCTGCTGCAGAAGTCCAGGGACCTGTGGCTCCCCTGAGAGGTGTTGCCCCTGGCAGGGACCCAGGTGTAGCAGTGACTTCCCTGCCTGGCCTTTTCCGATTTCTAGTCTTCAGACGTCGTCGCAGGGAGCTTGGGGCCAATGGGAGGCACCTCTGGTGGCTGTGACATTGCGAAATCAGCCCTTGGTGTTTGTCTCTGTTTCCTGGAGTGAAACATCCCACTCTTGATCTTCCCAGAGATAAGAGCCTTTGTATGCTAAGGTGGCCACCTGCGTGGCTTCAGGAAGTCCTGGAAAGGTCCAGGCCTAGGCCTCTCTGGGAGAGAGGGGCTGCAGACTGAGCTGGTTGGTCGGGGTGAAGCCCATGGGAACCCCAAAGGTGCAGGGCTCCCCATAGCTGAAGGCACGGAGGGTCCTGGATGGTGACCACCCCAGGGCGGAGCGAAACTTCCCTCTGTCCTGTGTCACTGGACAAGGTCCAAGGAAGCCCCCCGAAGAATGACACAGGGATGATACAGGAGATGAAAGAGGGCTTCCAAGTGTCATAAGGGAAATACCACAGTCCCCAACCTGTTAGGTGTCTTGATACGCTGAGTTCATGGTCTCTAGAATGAATTCTAGGAAGAACAGAGGTTAAGAGTAGGAAATGTTATTGAGAGGGTAGTTCCTGGTGGGGGTCAGCAGGGGTCCGGAATGGATGGCCGAGCAGGTACAACCTGGGTTAAAGCTATGAACAGCCAATGAGGTAACAAGTACAGTCGCTAAGGTAATGGTGATCGAATTGGGAAACAAGTCACGGAACAAGTGTGCGTGGAAGGAACAAAGACTTTTTCTAGGAAATGACTTGCCCAGAGGTCTTGGTCACCCACTGGGGTGACCGGGGTCACCCGACCCCGTGGTGTGACTTTATGAGGCCCAGTGTTACTGCTTATCTTGTCCTTTGGGGAAGGATGCAGGCCTGCTCATTTGGTCTGGTTTCCAACAGATGGGTCTACCGCCATGGTTGTAATGTGTTTTCATGCTTTGCGCTGACTCTGTCGAGGCCCAGCCCTGTCCGACCACCTGTGATATTTCTCCCTGGCTTAGCTGTCTGTGACAGGGGAGACGGGTGCCCACTCGGAGCGGGCTGTAAGTTCTCTGACTGCAGTCACAGAAAAAGGACTTTCAAGACGCTTCCATGAGAGGCATAAAAAGGATTTGTTATAGACGGCACACATGAATCCGTTTGCCAAACAGGCTTTTTCTTGTGAGAAAAAGAAAAGTTTATTCCAGTGAACAGGGACTAAAATCAGGAGATTGCAGCAGCTAGCAGGGAAGATTTCATCTGTGAGTGGATGGGCTGACACCAGGGAGACACATTAGGAGCTAACTGGGAGAGGCATTAGGCTCATGTAGGTACTGACGGGGCTAAGGAGTCTGGGTGAAATGTTTAGGCCTTGGATGCCCAGGGATGGTCTGCCCAGGTGTGTGGAGTCACTGGGCTTCTCAGCACCGGGGGTGGGGGTGGGGGGGTGAATATTTCGTTTTGAGTCCATTTGCTCTATTAACTGAGAAGCTGCTGCTGTTTGCTGAAAGCAGCCTGTTTGCTTTGTCCTGCTTGTTTAGGCCGGACCTGACATGGTTATTATTGTTTTCTTTGAGGTACTGGGGATGGAACCCAGAGCCTTCGCACTGAGTTACCCCCCAACACATCTCAGTCTTCATTCTGAGATGGGGCCTTGCCCAGACTGGGCTCGAAACTGCGATCCTCCTGCCTCAGCCCCCAGAGTGCTGGGATGACAGGCGTGGGCCACTGCACAAACAGGCCTCAGAGTTGAAGAGCTCACATCAGGCGAGGGGCTGCAGTCTGGGTGGGGACTCCGGCTCTGGGCTGACCTCCGGGGAGCCATGGAGGCCCAGTCCTGCTCCGCCGTGTGTCGTGTGGGGGCCATGTGAGGATGCACACGTTTCCTGCCCATGAATATTTTTTTTTTTTAATTTTTTTCGTACCGAGGATTGAACTCTGGTCCTTGCACTTGCAAAGCAGGCAGTAAAACCACTGAGCTAAATCCTCGGCCCATGCCCACGAATCTTGCTGCTTCCTGGAGGATGAAGGTCTCCAGGAGAAAGGGTAGCGTCCAGGGAAAGCCTGGCCCGGAGCCCAGTTTATAGCTTGCCGTGTGTCACATGTGAGAGGTAAAGATATTTCAATTAGTGCATGTTTCATTACCACTCTGATAAGCCCTTGTTCTCAGAATCAGCCAGGCCAAGCACCGGCCAAGGACTTGAAGACCATGGAGAGATTCACAGCTAAGCTAAGGTTCTGGGCTCAGAGATAACTGCTAAAGATGCTCTCTGAGTTACAGTCCTGGGAAGCCAAAATCCCATAAAGAACCACAGAAAGGAACACAGAGGGAGGAAGGGGCACGGAGGGAATGGGGGAGGGAACACCAGACTGAACCCCAGATCCCAGGCCACAGGAGAGGAGACAGGGCTCCCTCGCTGAGGACAGAAAGCACGAAGCCCCTCAGCGGGGCATGGGCCCTCTCTCCTGGCACCACTTCTGCAAGAGTTTGGATCGAAGCCTCGCTTTGCTGCCCCTGGAGTCTGATTTGGGGTCGGGTCTGGACAAGTGAATTAATTTTTTTACATCAGACCCATAGGATTTATTTTTGGACTGAGTTTCCTAGAAGAAAAAAAGACTCAAGTAACTCTTGAGTCCTGTTAGGGTTTGGGTCTAGATGGCCCCAAAGCCTCATGCGGTCACATGGCTTATTCAGAGGTGGCTGAATCTAGAATGTGACCCTGAGATTAAGGGCGTGTGATTGCCAGCCCAGTCCACTTGAGGTAGAAAGAGCTGCCAAACATGACTTGGGGTGGATAATTACTGTAAAACATTTGTTCATGAACTCTGTGTCAGTTTAGGGCTCTGTTTACATGCATTGTATGTGCTACCCCTGAAACCCCGTCTGGTCACCTTGTCCCTGTTTAGAAACTTGGGCCTTCCCCTCTTGTGGGGCAGCCTGTTCCCGGAGAGATTCGAAACCAGCCTTGAGATTTGTTTATCTTGAAAACCATGCTTTACCACATCCTTGCTACTTCTGTATAACTGCAATTTAAGCTACCCTGCAGGCTATGAGAAGGTATAAAAAGGAGAAACTGTCTTAGCTCGAGGTCAGTCTGTAAGGACTTGTTTCCTGAGGCTGGCCATTGCCTGGCAATAGACTTCTTTTTTATTTTACCCAACTCTCCTGTCTCTGGAAGACCATTTTGACTCCCGATTTGACACAACACACTGATTGGCTAGGCACCACCCTAATACTGGTAGCCTGGATAGGATAAAAGGTCCCTTGTTGCTTTTGCTACTGTGTGGTCGCCGTGAACTGTTTCTCCTCTGCAATGTGCATCTGGCATGTGCCACCCTGTCTTGGAGCCAGCCAATTATGGACCAAAACCTCTACAAACTGTCAGCTAAATAACCCTTTCCCCCAAAGCTTGTGAGGGTTGGGCATTTTGTCTCAGCAATGAAGAAAAGTAGCTAAGACAGAATTTAGTACCATTGCTGTGACATCACCTGACCGTGTGGCGCAAGAGCCTTTGGAGCTGGCTTGTGGGAAGGGGAAGAGTTAGGAAAGACTCAGAGATGCTGGCTGTAGAGGTAGAGCTGGAACACCTTAGGCTGTTCTGTATGAGAAGTTCTGGTCAGAGCTCAGAAGGCCAGAAAGCCAGCGAAGACCAGGTTCAGCAAGTGTCTGCTGGGAAGGAGGACTGCATTGGCTGTTGGACTCCAGATGATGTGTGTTATGGCTTGGCACAAAGTTTGTCTGCATTTTGCTTACGTCCAGAGACTTTACCTGAGACTGAGATTAGGGGCAGTGGACTAATTGATCTGGCAGGAGAAATTTCAAGGCAGCCTAATGTTGAGGAGGTAGCATGGCTACTCTTGGGGGTTTTTAGCCAGATCTGTATTCTTTTTTTGGTACCGGGGATCTGACTCAGGCCCTTGTGCTTGCGCAGCAGGCGGTGAAACCACTGAGCTAAATCCCCTGCCCTAGCCAGATCTATATTGAGAATCAAGAGCAAAGAGCCCAGAAGAATGATTTAAAACATTTTGAGTTTGGCCAGAAAGGAAGCTCCAGTAAAGCTGTGGACTGCAAAGATGGAACAGAGGAGATCTTGACTGCTGAGAAGGAACAGGAGAATAGAAAAGATGCCCTGGGGGCATCAGAAAAAACAGCAGGACTCCACCCTTTGGAGCCCCAAAATTGCAAAAGTGAAAGTCTTTCCTTTGGGAAGAAAGCCCCAGAGAACCGTGTTCCAGAATGGCTGTGGCCTAGAGAATTTGTTTCTTGGAATTGGGTTCAGACTGCTCAGCAATCCAGGTATTTGAGCCCCCTACAGCTGACAGAGAGAGGGAAGCCTGGCTACTACTGCTCCAGCTGACAGCAGACCTTGGCATCATCCCCATGGCGCTGGGTTTAGGTACATCTAGAGTGCAGGAGTTGTGCGGTCAGGAAGGCTTCCACTCAGATTTCAGAAGAAGGCCTGGGGGACCAGGCAGCGTGCCCCTGAGAGGGCAGTGTGTGAAGCTGTGAAGGTGAAGCTGCAGAGGAGACCACAGAGGTTTGGAAAAGCCAGGAGCGTGGATTATCTGAGGAAAGCTGCCAGGAAGGAGCAGAGCCGGCCCCAGAGAGAAGCTGTGGGAGCTACAACCACCCGAAGCACCACAGGGGCGGAGCCACCCAAGCCCATGAGAGTTCGCAACTTGCCACACATTGCCTTGCATGCTGGAAGTGGAACTGTGGGATTTAATGTTTGCCCTGCCGGACTTTGGACCTCCTTTGGTCCCCTTCCTTTGTGTCCTCCTGTTTGTACCTTTTGGAATGGGAATGTCTGTCTTGCGCCATTGAATGTTGGAAGTGTTTGACTTTCTTTGCATTTGCATAGGGGCTTGCAGCTAAGAGTTGGCCTTAAATCTCAGAGACTTGGGACTTTGCAGCAACGCTGAAAATGTCAGGACTTTGGGAACTCTTAGAGACGGACTAAATGCCTTTTGCATAAAGAGGGCGCCGGAGGCCCCAGGGGCGGCGGGGAGGCCGGGTGCGTGCCGGACGGGCCGCGAGCCCCGGCCGCGTCCCCTCTGGGCGGAAGCCGAAAGCGGGGTGCCTTGTGGCCGCCTCGCCCTCCCCTGCTCCTCATCCCGCACCCCTCGACCCGGCCGGCCGCGGGGGCCAGGCGAGTGCTGACTGCCCAGTCCGTTCCCGCGAAGGGCCGCGTCTGAGCCGCTGGGAGCCGAGGACCACGGAGACGCGGCGGGACCGAGCACCCGCCCACACCGAGGGCCGGGAGCGCACGGACCGCGGCGCCCAAGCGGTTAATAAGGAACTTAGTGACGTGGGCCGCGAGCCGCCAGCACGGTGTTCTGCAGGCCCAGCTGGGGATGCCACGGGAATGGGACCTGATGACAGTCCCTATCAAGGTGGGGTATTTATTTTTTTTTTGGTACTGGGCATCGAACTCGGGTCCTTGTGCTTGCGCAGCAGGCAGCGAAACCACTGAGCTAAATCCCCGGCCCTGGAATAAACTTTAAATACTGTTCCTTGATTTTCTTATCTGGTTGCTCCCCTACCGACCTCATCTTTTTTAAGTTTAGCTTTTGTTTACCTCCCTCCATTCATTCACATGCTCATCTGAGAAGACTTAATCTCTTCCAGCTTTGGACAATAACTGCTTTTAGAAACTGTAAAGTGGGGCCGGGGATTTAGCTATGTTGTGCCCAGATCGCGAAGTCCCCAAAGACCACCAAGGAGCCGATTCCGATGCAAACACACGAGGGTCGTTTATTCAAGCTCGAGCAGGGGCTCTCAACCGTCGCCAACGCAGCGGGTCAGGATTGAGAGCCCCAAATTTTAAATTTGCAGGGTTTTTATTGTGGTTACAGCAAGGTTTGGAGATTTTCCACGTAGCAGTTACATGATTGGTTGACATTTAGCAAGTATGAAGTGTACATTTCTGATTGGCTAGGTTCATGGCGGGGGGGGGGGGGGGGGGGGGGGGGTTGAGGGGCGGTTACGTGTAGGCTTTACGAGGGAAATGAGGGACAAAGGCTAGTGGTCAGTGGTCGACTGTCACGTACTGATGGTCAGCAGACACACTATTAGTCACGACCCTTACGTACTGACAGCACATCTGCAGATTGTTCTATGGATAGGGGGCCCGGAACGTTCTTTTCCTAGGCAAACAGATGGCTGAGTAATTAACTTAGGAACTTTGCTTCGGCACAGATTGTGTCTTTTGTCCCAGAGCATGCACATTTTAACCATTAATTTGTGAGAGACTAGGGGAGTGGTGCATTTTAGCAAAATGGAGTCGCTTTGGCCTCACAGCTCAGTGGTTTTGCCGCCTGGTGTGCAAGCACAAGGTCCCGAGTTCAATCGCGGTACAAAAACAAAAAAAGAAAGAAAGAAACTGTAAAGTAGTTACAGGAGAACAGTTGCCCAAGATTCAGAATTTTCTTTAAAATGCAGCATGAGTTTTATGTGGCCAGTATCTTCACTCTGACTTGGTTATGAGACTAAAGCATTCTTCACAGCTCTAACTGCTGAGGAAGCCAGCTGAGGGGGGGATGGATGCTCGGTTGTCAAGGCAAGGAAGCAGCATTATTCTAGCAGCATCCATTCTTGTTAAGCCTTCCACTGTTAGAGATTTGAGGTTACGTGATATACTTTATGCTCATAACTGAATGGCTGGAGAACTGGTATTGAATTTATAGCATTGGCAGAACAGAAAATGTGATGTATTTTGTGCATGTCAGTAAAGGAATGACCTGTTCTTGTTCTACAGAGAATGGAAATTGGAACTCAGACACTGTTTGTATTCCAAAATTGGGTCTCAAAGCATTTTGTGATTTTCATTTAAGTTGTTAGGAGGCTTGGAGCTATTAGTTAATCTATCTTCCAATACAGTGAGTAATACAGCACTGAGTAAATGATGCAAGTTGTCAATGGAGGAGTCATCAACTAATAGCTCTGCTAGTAATTGGTTTATTTTTCTTCAATTAAGTTTCATAAACCAAAAAAAAAAAAAAAAAACTAAAGAGAGAGATGAGCGTGAGTCTGGGGGACCAGGGCCAGAGTTAGGGTTCAGGTCTCAATGTCCCTCAAAGCCTCATGTGGTCACGGGGCTTTTTCTAGAGTGTGACGCTGGGATGAAGCGGTGTGGATGCTGCACCACGCTGACTGGCCTGGCAGAAGGACGCTCTGAAGGGCCCCTTGCTGCTTTTGCTGCCATTTGGGTGCCATGAGCTGCTTCTGCTCTGCGATGCCCCGGGGCCAGCAGACCATGGACTGAAACCTCTACACACTGTGAGCCAATTTACCCTTTCCTCCCTTCGCTTGTGAGCGTTGGGCATTTCCTCAGCAATGAGAGAAAAGTAAGGAAGACCCGTCCTGACGCCGGAGTTTTCCGTGAAAACACAGTCTTGAGCTGGGTGTGGTCATGCACACCTCTAAAGGAAACTGAGGCAGGAGGATCACACACTTGAGCTCCGCTTGGGCAGTTTAGGGACTTAGTGAGACCCTGACTCAAAATACGGCATGAAAAAGCCCTGGGCATGGAGCTCAGTGCAAGGGCCCTGGGTTCGGCCCCTGGTAATGAAAAAGAAAGTGTTTTGAGCAGGCTCAGGGGCACTGGCTACCCTCACGGTGATGGGCTTCGGGGCCCTGGCAGGACGGGCAGCAGCCACGCAGACACAGGTGCCGGGCGGCTGGGCGGGAAGGGGCCCAGGTGCAGCCCAGGGAGGGGTGGCGTAGGGCTCAGCGGGCACCGCGTGTGGCGGGCGGCAGGTGACTGATGCCCGCGAGGCTCCTCCTCGGGGCTCCACCTGGTGACAGGGAGGCGGCCTCTCGGGTGCCAGCTGTGTCGCTCAGGACTGAGCGTCCATGGCTGGGTTCCGTCCGCCTGCTGTGGCCCAGCGGTCCTGTGCTCAGGCGGCAGTCACAGGCGCGACGTTCCCTCCAGGCTCAGGGACGCGAAGAGGGGCGGGAAGAGCGGGAGCCGCGGGAGGGGCGCCGGGGTCAGCGTCCCGCGCCCCGCGCCCCGGACAGCAGCGCCGCCTGGTGGTGGCCCCTCGGCTACACAGCCTGCCGGGCGCTCAGGACGGGGCTGACCGCGACGTCGGGGCTCCTGGGCGGGGCGGAGCGGAGCGGAGCCCGGGGCGGGCAGAGGCGACCTGACAGCCGGGGCGTCTGGAGCCGGGCTGCTGCCTCGCGAGCGGCAGGGCTGGGGGAGAGCCAGGCCGCGGGCCCCTCGCGCTGCGCCCCGTTTCCCACCTGCCTGAGCCGTAGCCCAGGGGCTTCCGGTGCCCGGGACACTCGGAGAAGGGCAAATGCGGGCGCGCGTCCCGGGGCCCCAGGGTGACGGCCCCAGGGCCGCTCGCGCTTGCTGTCAGCGCTGCGGAGCTGCGGGTGTGGGTGCACACTCACTGCCCTTCACACCCGCACACTCGCACCCCCCGCCCGGCGGCGTCTCCTCCTCACAGGTGCTGGAGCCGCACAGCCCCCCCGCCCCCGGGCCCCTCCTCTGCCTGCCGACCGCTGACGGCCCAGCCCAGGGCCAGCCTTCAGATGTCCTCAGCGCTGGTGTTTGTCCGTGAGGTTCCATGAACAGAAGTTCACTTCTGTAACTCAGGAAGAAAAGAATTTGAAAGTAAACAAAAAATGCTGGTTCTAGGCCGGGGATGTAGCTCAGTGGTGCCGCCGCCTGCCTCGCAAGCGCAAGGTCCTGAGTTCGATTCCCAGTACCAAAAAAAGGTGCTGGTTCTGCTCCTCTCTCCCTCTCCGAGGCGGAAGCCAGGCTCAGGCACGGCCCAGCCCGGCGGGCCTGCTCTTCCACCCCAAAGCAGTGACACTGTTCATCCCATCTATTTTACTTTCGTTGTGCTTAAGAAAACAAAGAGCAGCTGTTCGCTAAGTCCTAGTTTTCCTCTGTACCAGCTTCATTTAAATTACACGGTTTAAAAAAAATATAAAAAAAATAAATCACGGTTTTATTTACCCATGTTGTACACAGCGCATCAATGCTCTCTGTAGGGAAAAAATGACAAAGCATTTATTCCAGGCCCCTTCTGGGCTGATCACCAAGAGTCAGGGCTCGGCCACACTCCCCGCCCGGTATGCTGTGTCCTGGGTGGTGGGAAACCAAACGGCTCAGCCTCGCTCCTTTGCTTCAGGGTGAGAAAAGAGGAATTTCCATGGATGCACATTGAGGCCATACTCTTAAGTGAAATAAATCGGACACGCACGTGTAAATACCGTGTGTGAGAAACTGCAAGTGTAAATAAGGATTGAAATGATTAAAACGAATAAATGATAATTTGAACTAGGAAGAAAAGGTCCAAAGGGGTGGGGTAAGTGGGAGGGGAAGGGGAAAGGAAAGAAGGGAAAGGAAAAATGATGAGAAGAGGAAAAAATGGAAACAACCACTTTGTACATAGGGAAGGGTGGAGGGGTGAAGGGAGGGCAGGTAATGGGGAAAAAATAAGAACCAAGATGCATCATGTACAGGTACAAGCACCCAGTGATAAATGTAAACGTAGTGTGTACCTAAAATGTACCAAGGAAAGAATTTAAGGAAAAAAGAGAGAGGAATTTCCCTCACGGTACTGTATTTTCACAAAAGCATAGATAATGGAGGAACCGCAGGCCGTGGGTAGAGATGGAGACTTACGATGCGTTAAAGCGTGGAATTGGCGTGTCTGGGAGCGGCGAGCCCCAGGCAGGAGCCCAACGTTTACCCCTCCGAAACTCGGCTTACTTCTGTGTGGATCCGAGCCGAGCATCTGGCATTTCCAGACTCGGTGTGCTTGCTGGGTCCCGGGCTCCTCCTCTCCGCCTCCTCCTCCTCCCTGACTGTCACCAGGCCAGAGAGAGCCCGCAGGAAGGACTGAGGCGGCGCTGTAGCTGGGCTTTTTCTGCCCTTCTCTCTGTACCTCTGGTGCCACTGACATGGAGCCTGGCGAGGACTTCGCGGAGAGGCCGTGACTTTTCCATTTCTTCATTTGCTGCTTTATTATCAGGATGGAGAATTCCCAGGACAGATCAAGGCTCTTCTCATCATGCGCTTACCGCACGCACCTCCTCGGGTGCTTCCCCCACACCTCCTGTCCGGAGTTTGTCTTTTCCACCTCCTGAAAGGGGGAGACACAGTCTCCAGCCTCACCGTGTCGCACACGCAGCCCTCACACCCGAGCTGCCCCTGTGCACCGTGCAGTGCTGGCCGCAGGAGACAGCATCTGGGCACCGGGCTGTACAGTTCCTGAGCCCAGGGCCGGGCGTTTCTTTACCACGCACAAAGTTCCTCACATCCCTTCTGCTAGTTACATCCCACCTGCCTGGCAGACCTCTCACCGCAGATACACAGTTAGACGTTCACACAACCCGTACATTGGCATCCACACACAGGCTCCGGGATCCTGGCTGC